AAAGAGGAGGAAGGGGAGGAGGAGAAGGAGGAGAAAGAGGAGGAAGGAGAGAGAGAGGAGGAGGAAGAGGAGGGGAAGGAGGAGATACCCTACAAGTCCAATTTGTGTTGCCCAAATGCTCACTGGAACATGGTCAAACTCCCAGTGTCTAGCCCCTTAAAGAAAGCTGAGTCCTTCCCTACCAGCACCCCATCAGAAACCCTCAGTTGTGGAGAGCTACACTTCAGCACTCCTAAGGACAAAAACAAAACCTGTCTTTCAAGTTAGGAAAGCTTCACACAAAATGCTTCTTCTTAAATAAGAATTTCCCACTTGTAACACTGTCCTTAGCAGCTTATAAAAACACACTTGAATTTTGCTTGCATTGTTCTCAGGCTGTATATAACTAAATGGTCTCCATGGAGTAAATAGGACTTTTATTGGGCAATAAGAATTTTGACTGGCAAAGCACTTTTACCCCATTTTTCAACTGCTGCAAAAACCATTTTCTTGTATTTTGAATGTAATGTTTTAGGGAAGAGTAAGAGGATTAGAAGCATGAAGCCACTGCACTGTGAGGCAGGTGGCCTTCGGAGGTTTGAGCAGCAGTAGGGCAGAATCCTGTCCTGATGGAGTCCCTGTGAGGATGAGGATGAGTCCCAGGATGCATCTGGAAAGCTGATGCGTTTAACTGGCAATGTGCTCTTTTTGCTGTGCCTTGTAAGGGAGCTCTTCTTTGGAGGAATGTGTGAAATCTGCCACCTGGCAATGTGGAACAAATGAAACAAGTGTGAAGCAAGTGTGTTGTGATGCACGACATTTTAGAATTGACCCACCTTTGTTCTCCATCTCATCCAGGTCACCTTTGCACAGTACTCCAATGTTGTTATTTTTGGTGTGCCTCAGATGGTGAGTCTGCACCCCCTTCCTTGTGATCCATATGTCGCTGTCACTATCAGCTGCATGCAACACATCACCTCTCACACACACGTGCAGTGATGGCTTCCAGTGACTTTGAGGGAATACTGGATTTCACTTCATTGCTTTAATAAAATACTTATGGACCTTAAAAGTTTAATCATTAAGGATTCAGCCACAATTTAAAACTTTAGTTTCAGAGAAGAAAACCCTCAAAGCTTAGCAATCACAGTTTGAAAACTGCTTTATGAGGTTCCAGCATTGAGTACAGTTGGTGATTTTCACGGCTGCTCACTCACACCCCACTGTAATCGCTTGGGGAAGTTAATGGGATGTTCCCTTTGAATTGATCATTCTTCCAATTTTGCTGGAGATAATTTTCAGGGTGGATGAACATTGACTGGTTTCAATTTCCTCCAATTCGCAGATTTGCCAAAAAAACTGAGTATTGAACTTTGATTATGTACTTTGAAAGTGAAAATGCCACTATTGTACTGACAATGGGCCTCTGCAGCCCATTGTCTTTGCAGAGACAGTCAGGGTAGGATGCTTTATGTCATTGCTGGCTTAGAGACCAGAGACATCAACTCCTTTTTACTTTTCAAAGTCTGTAATTGTAGCCATAATAACCTTGGCAGAATTGGATGTTTGCTGAAATGGCACTATAATAACTGATACGGTTTTTAATTTAAAAAAGAGAAAATTTAATTTCTGTTGTTTTACTTTTTATTGATCCCTTAGGTTTTTGTTGTTGCTTGTTGAGCTACAGAATCACTGTATTGCCCTGGCTGGCCTGGAAATTGCTATGTAGCTCAGGCTAGCTGTCAACTTGCACTGGTTCTCCTGCCTCTGATTCCCAAGTGTGGCGGTTATGGGCATGTGCTGTCATGCCTAGCTTTGCTTGGAGATTTTATACATAGTGTTTAATTGCTTGAGAAATTTATCCCCACATCAGAACTTTTAGTATAATGGTACATTCTTTGCTTTTTCAAACCAGAAATGATAGTATTGCAAAAGTAACTCTAGTCATGTCTGTTATGGGCCTTGAGAGTAACTGTACTTTTGTTCTAAAAGTGAAGGCAGGTGTGAGGTCTCCGGTCACTTAAAAACTTGCTTGGGCCAGGCCTGGGATCACACCTACAATCCCAGCATTCAGGAGGCCAAGGGAGTAGGGTTATTGTAAGTTTGGGTTACACAGTGAGGCCCTGGGGTCATAGACTAGATAGGGAATTTTGATGGTGATTTACTACTTAGGATGTTAGGGTTTTTCCTTCTAAGATGTAACAATTCGCATATTGGAGACAAGTATCTTGAATGTAGGAAAGTAGAAAGTAGATTGAGTGGGAATTCTGTGCTGTCTGGAGGGAGGGAGAGAGAGAATGTGCGAGAGAGTGAGAGAGTGAGCGAGCTTGCCAGTGAGCATGAGTTAGGCTGGGGTGCAGGCTGTGAAGCCATGCCTTCTTGTCCCAGCAGGGGGCAGCAGCAGCCTTTGTAATCGTGACTAAGGCTGCTCTGCCACCTGAGTCTGGGTTGGCTTGCATACTGTGTTGGGGCTGTTTTCCTTAGGAGCAGTGTGAGTCTTGTTATTTTGAAAAATACATTGGCAATTATTGCTTATTCCCCTACACACAGACAAATCTCAACCAAGGAATTTGAGCATTTTACTGTTCGCAGGGAAAAAGAGGAGCAGCAGGAATTCACAGAACATTCATGTTCCTGAAAAGGAGATTGAGTCAGCCTGTGTATGGTGGGTTGGTGAGGGGCACAGAAAACTGGCTTCTGTTGAGCTGGAATGCCGAGGTTCATGTGTGGAACCCCCACTTTCAGCCCACATCAAACTTTGCTCAAGTGGAAGTAGTGAGGGGCAGGAGAGAATGCTGGCTGGGAAGTTGGAGACCACTTTGCCCGCTAGTACGTTTGTAGCACTAGGAAAGCCCTTTCCCTATCTATGTGAGGATGCAGTTAAATTGTACCCCACTCTCTTGAGCATGGGTCAGTACTCCTGTCATGGGCAGATGACCCTCTAAAGCAGCATGCCATGGACAGTGTCTCAGAGTAGCTGATGCACTCATAGGCACTTGGAGAGTCTGGAGGAGCCTTAAGGAAGTGCAGAGGAGGACAGCTGCGTTGCAAATCCTTAGCCCTGCTTCAGATGCCACCTGGATTATTCCTAGTATCACAGTGCATTTGTAAGTAGAAATTAGTGCTAATGCTTCAGTATACAGTATGTACCAGAGTAGGGTGAGGAGTCCCATTTGGACCTGGTAAATATGGAGAGGCTTGCAACTACCCATATGTAGCCTGAGCTTATGCACCAAGATGCTCTTTTTCAAGTGTGGAACAGTTGGGTCTTTGCTTAAAACCCTCTGTGAGGCTGGAGATATAGCCCAGGTGGTAGCATGTTTGCCTAGCATGCATGAAGCTCTGAGTTCAGTCCCCAGTGCTACAGAAACCACATGTGTTGGTGCACGCCTGTAGCCCCAGCACTTGGGAGGCAGAGGCACAGGATTAGAAATTCAAGGAAATCCCTGGTTATATAGTGTGTTTGAGGGCAGCATGAATTACATGAGACCAAAACCCCAAACTCCAAATATAAAATCCTTGGTGACTTCTTGCTAACTTAGGAAAAAGGTCTGAACCTGCCATGGGTCTCTGAGATTGGCATGGAGTGGCTCCTGCCTACTTGTGACCTTGTCTTGTCATTTTTAAATTTTATTCTCTTCACAGTTCTTCATCTTGTCAGTTCATGGACTTTCCTGTGCTTCTCCTAAAGAACTGGAGCCATCCATTCTCATTGACCTCAGGCCCGCTCTGCACGAGGCCTACCTCGTGAATGGCTGCTCTTCCTCCGTGAAGCTGTTCTCTGTGCCCTTGAAGTGGGTCTTATTCTACTCTGTAGCACTCTGATCCTGTCCTTTAGTGAATACTGTACAATGTCTATGCCCACAGGCTTTGCTCATGCAGCAGTTATGGCTGCTGCATAGGAGACAGGGGCTTCTTATCACTTGACTACATCACTGAGTAACAAAATGGGAATATCCTGAGGTATCTTGTCACTGCTCTAGAGGCAGTTGAACCTGGGCAAATGAAGCCAACAAATGAGGTGAACTAAAGTCTCATGCAATGGCTACCTTTGTTCAGAGCCTCAGACAGTTCATACTCTGAGGCTTCAGAAAGGCCACATGAGTAAAGTTCAAATGAATTCATGCTGTATATGATCACAAGGACAAGCCACATGTGGCAAAAACATGTTTTTCCATAGAAGCATATAAAGGATAGTTCAAACATTTACTTCAATAACAACATTAAGCGATAATGTGAAATAAACTTACTCCTGTCCTCTGCACCTTGGAAGAGTCATCCAGGCTGAGGACCGGCAATTGCACAGTGCTGAATGGTGTGTGCGCCTATTGGTTGGAGACCAGTAAGTAAGTACAGATGATGAGGATGATGGGAATTTGAGAGGAGTCAGAAAATAGAACTGGTACCTAAAGGACACTGGTCCTTCTGAGGGAAGGAGCTGTTGAAGGTCAGCAGAGGACTAAGGAAATGGTTAGGGCAGAAAAAGACCACAACCTCATGTAGGTCAGACTCAAGACATTAGAAGTTGGGAAACGTTATGTGCTCTTTTGGCTGTCCAGGCGACAGATTGAGGCTCAGGCTAGGGCGGGTTAGCTGAGAGATGTCAGATTCCAGCTTCAAAGAGAAGCCCAGCAGCAGCAGTGGGCGTATCCAGCATTGGTGAGAGGCAGCTGAATCAAGGCCAGTTACTTGTCTTCTGCTTCCTGGATGTTTGAGTAGCCATAAGCTGAGCTGGGGGAGAGGGAGGTGCAGGCAGAGCCATCTGGAGCAGTTCAGTGTGGGCAAGGGAGAGTCTGGAGCTCAGGTGTGCACAACCATGGGCAAGGCCAGGAGGCAGGCAGATCTCAGGGAGGAGTTGCCCAAGGCCTGAGCTTTGTCTGGGAAGGGAAGCATAACCAGACAGGGCTTTGGGAAGCCCTCCTGGTATGCATGTCCCCACTCTTGGAGCAAAGAGGAGGAAAAAGGAGGCTGCCAGGTCATGGGCCAGCATGACCTGTCAGCCACAGGCCTGTCTTAAGCTGTTAGCTGATTCAGTGTGTGCTCCAAGTTTTGAAGATATGATTAGAATATGATGAGTTTGTGTCACTTTGATACCCATAATTGTATGAATAATTTTGAATTCTATTAGACAGGCATAACACATCACTGCTTCTCTTCGTGTGTGATATCAGGACAGATTTGATGCATATTTATGTGTAATTTAGTCAGTTAATTTCTCATGATTGAAATAGCTTCTTTCATTTTTAGGTTTATCTTGACTTAGCATATGACAGTCACTCCAAAATAAAAGAAACTATAAAAGAGAAAAGAATAGTAATGTGAATACATTTACAATTATCTTTTTTATGAACAAAATTACCATAAGAAACCTGGTATTTTGAAAAATGCATGTTGTTTTATTTTTTGCTTATTTAATTTTTCCCTCATGGAATAATTTTTTTTAATTCTTTCTTTGCTACTAGAAGGATAGAAATCTTCTCTCCTTCATGGGATTTATTCTCTGTTATCAACTCTAATGATGCATTAGAATTTTGGCTTATTCCATCCATATCTTGGGAGTTTTGCAAAACCATTTTTATAAGATGCTGGTCAAGAATAAAACCTTCACAAGAGCCCTGCTGGTTTCTCTGTCTTGTTGTGGTTACTTATAGAGGGAGTAGTTTTTGCTTAGATCTTCATTTCTGAGTATCATTTTTCACTCCAGGGAACCAGGATCCTTGAGAATCGATGATCTAGTGTTGCAGAAGGGATGATACAAAAGCTTGGAATATTTTGTTGAGTCAAAACATAAGGAAGTACTCAAAATTTTTAATGGGAGTATTTTCAAGGATGGAAAAGCCAGATGCTGGAGGGGATGCATGGCAAGATTTGGACAGTTTGAACATTACCTTAGCAAGGCCAGCAGTGATTTATGAGCCACTGAATGAGCCATTAGCATATGGACATTCATATTTGCCATAGGTAGAGGTTATAGGTAGGGAGACAGGGTCAGAGGAAGGGAAAGCATGTCCTTGTAACAATGCTGTCTATCGAGAGGAAAGATGGTTACCCCATTGCCTCTGCAGCCTTTATAGTAAAATTGATTTTAGTCAGAATCCTCAATGTAGGCTACTTACAGGGCAGAGATGTTTTGTGAGTAAAAATGCTTACAGTTTTCTACAATGGTCACTAACAGTAAAGGGAATATAGTACGTACATTATGTGGATACCCAGATCCATCTTGAACCTGTTTAGTGGAATTGTCAGGAGTAGAAAGCCCTCCTGAGCTTCTGGGGATTACAGCAGGGGCATTGCCCAGAGACCTACATGCCATGCACTGAGCTATCAGAAACAAGTATCGGGAACCTGAGGTGAAGGTTATTTGGTCTGTTGTTATAAAAGACAAAGAATCAGAAGAGACTGAAGTGGAGGTATAGCTGGGTGCTAGAGCGCTGCCAGGCTGGGCATGCCCAAGACCACAGGTTCATCCCTTACTACCACAAAAAACAACTACAAAGTTAAACTAGGAGACCAAGGAAAACATACAGCTAGGCACAGAGCCTTGCTCTGTCTTGGCTTCTTCCTGACTGGTGCAGAACACCACCGGGAGGAGGAGACTGAATTGTAATGGGGTTACCGTGGGTAGAGCGATAGATTTCCTGAGGCAGTCCTCGTGTGGAGTATGTAAGAAACAGAAGTGTTGTGTGCAGCCTCTTCTCAAAGGTTTAGAGGCAGTTCCTGGAGGTAGAGGGCTGAGGTGAGCAATGGGGCACTGCTAGAACTCCACCCTGGGTAGACTGCATATGGGTCCTTTGTTCAGTTCTCCAAGCTTGTCTACAAGTTGATGCTATCTCAAAATCAACTGAAAGTAGAAAGTGAAGCAAACATTTTTAGAATATGAGGATGTTAGAACATTTTTACAAACTTCAGGTAATTTTACATAGCTGTTAATTTGTTGATGTAATTAAATGTCAATGCTTTCAGCAAATATTAAAAACATTTTATTGGTAGGTTGGATAATAAAATGAATACAAGATTGATATATTAAATATTGCTAAAAATTCACTGCTGTGGCTGCAGGTGCAGTTCAGTGGGAGAGGGGTGCCTACTGTGTGTGAGGTCCTGGCTGCACTTTGTAGAAACAAACACCCCTCAGGGGGGCATGATCACCAGGATATTATAAACACACTAAGAACCATTCCTAATTGTAGAATGTGTGTACTTCTCAGGGTCTGATTAAACAATATTTATAGACTCTAAATGTTGGTGCTACAGTGTACTGTTAATTGTTGAGAAAAAAACCAACACTCATAATTCTAGGATAATAACAGTTATCTGATGTGTCCCAATTTAGAGATGTTAAAAGTATAGAAAAATATGCCCTAAATATGTGACATATGCTATGTGCAAGTGCTTGAGCAGATCCATCATTTAAAATAGAGTTTGAACTATTGCCACATCATAGTTCTTATCAGAAAAGCAGAATTGATGATACATATCTGCTGAAATAGGTTATTTTACAATCGGTACTAGGTGTCTTTGCAACTGCTGTTAATATGTCTTCTTGTGTTAATAGATTGCTTGATAAGTGTTTGTGCCTGAGCTGATTTGTTTTGTAGGATTTTCAGGGGCTTTGGGGTGCAGAAAGGCATTTTGAAGTCATCTCCTTTGTCAGTGTTCAGGGAGCCTCATGGCTGTTGTTCTCCACAGATGCCACAGCTGGAGAAGAAACTTGAGCTTGAACTTGAGGACAATGCTAGAGTTATTGCCTGCCGATTCCCTTTCCCACACTGGACTCCAGACTACACTGCTGGAGAGGGCATTGACACTGTGTGGGCATATGACATGAGCGCTTTCAGAGGACGGGGTAAGAGGGCCAGAGCATGCATGCATCATCCAGCAGAGCTTCACGGAGACAGCTGAGAAGTGCACGTCTTCATGCCCTAGATGCAGCTGCTGCCGCAGAGCCATCTCTCCTTGACACCGAACAAGAAGTCACCACACTTTCCTTTCCTCTTGGAGAAAACGAACAGAAGCTCAGAAAAACACTGAGGTTTATTTAAAATCTGCTGCTTTTTAAAGGGCAGTTTCACGTAGCCTGGCTTGGCTTTGAGTTGGCTGAGGATGACCTTGAACTTGAGATACGTCCTCAGTAAAATCTGCTCCTAGTGGACTATTCTGGATGGGTTTACTGCATTTCTGTACTTGAGGATGCATGAAGATATAAATAGACTGTTTGGGTCAGAAGGTTGTCATCTCAGCAGCGTGTTTTAATGCCATGGAAGAAGAGGGAGGGGCCCTTAGGCAGACGTCTGCAGTTTCCTATAGCTTTGTTCATAAGTGAGACTCATCTCCTTTCTGTAGTTGGTAGCTAAGTTAATTACTTATCTAAAATATTTAGAGTGACATATTTTTCCCCTAAGGCTGTTGGCTTACTGTACTGTATTGAGTGAACATGTATATGTACATATACAACTCTGTGTAAATGGACTATGTAACATGCATGTTTTAACATTGGGGAAATGGTGACAAGTTGCATTTGGCTTTAGTTGACAGTGTTACGTGTTTTGGTTACAACTGTCTTACATCTGTAGATTTGATGAGGCTTTTAAAGAGCCTTGGCTCAGGGAGATGTCAGTAAGGGCTTAACAGTGAGTGACTGTGAGCTCTCTCTGGGGCCTGTGCATCAGTTAGTAATAGCGTAACAGTAGCCTTTAACCCCAGTACTTGGAAGGCAGAGGCAGGTAAATCTCTATGAGGTCAAGGCCAGCCTGGTCTACAAGTTGAGTTCCCGGACAGCCAGGGCTGTTACAGAGAGAAACTCTGTCTCAAAAAACCAACTAACCAACCAACCAACCAACCAACCAACCAACCAACCAACCAACCAACCAACCAACCAAGCAACTAAGCAAGCAACCAAGCAAACAAACCAGTGAGTGGCTGAGCTTTGGAATCTGAGCTGAGGTTCTGTTTTGAGCAGGAGGCCTTAGGCAGTGACTGACTGTCTCTGAGCCTTGCAGCCTGCTACCAGGACAGTGAACATGGGTCTGGGGATCAGTTTTTAAACTTAATGCACAGTCTTTGGTCTGCCAATGGTGTTTATGTTATAGACTCTGAGGGAAAGCCTATGTAGGGAAGTCACAGATTTTTTTTTTTTGCTAGTCACTTCTCTTATGAGAATAGACATTTATTTAACATTTCTCATTTATGAGAAGAGACTTGACTGGTTTAGATAGAAGACAAGTAAAGGAAAACCTTTGAATGTGAGTAGACAGGCTGTATAGATCTGAAAAATGAGTATCAACTGGTGGCATGGCGGTTCAACTCATCTGTTTGTCTCAGAGAAAAGATCAAGCTGCACTCCTACACTGGGACCTAAATACCAAGCTGTTCTGATGGGAATTTAATTTTAAAAGATGTTTGACTATTTAGCTAAACTGATCAGAATAGGAACATCTTATAGTTTCCTTGAGAGGACCAACTGGGGACACATGCATTCTGTCACACATTCATCACACACATGTCTGCTGGTTCATGATGGAAAGACATTGCTGATTCCGACCTCCACAAGTTCTGGAGAATACAGAGACAGAGAGCAATTGTTAGGGTGTGTAAGGTTTTCTGATGAAATAGAAGCTTTGTGTATTTGTGAGGAGCACACAGAGGGTGTGGGCATTAAATAATTTGTTGACTATTGCCCTCTTCACTGTCTAGGCCTCTGATTGTTCTGTGGAGAGTGTGTCCTATGTGCATGGGTGGTTTTGGTGGGAGTGCAGATCTTGGTGTCCCAACGCTTGCTGTCACCCCCTGCTCTAGCTACTGCTGTAATATTCTGGGCACACTTAGAGAGGGGCCACTGCTGTGCCTTGCCACACACATATGTAGTGAGTACATGTAGGGTCTTTTGGACCATGGAGGTATTCCACAGTTTTCTATGTATATTTCTGATGGGTTTGTAAAGGCATCAAACTGCGGTGATTTTCCTCTCCACCATGGTAAGAATTAGCAGATGCTAGGTCCTATGACCTCAGAGCTTCATGGAAGTGTACTGACCACCTTCTGTGGGCTCAAGAGTTAGTCTTTAAAGTTATGCTTTATTAAGGAAACAATGCAACAAGGACTTCCCTGCTGGGAGATACGGCTTCTCCTCTCTGGTTAGTTGAATCTTTATCAGTTTATTAGGTTAAGGACACTGATCAAGTTTACTCATGAGGGCTAATATGTTGAACATCAAAAATAGGGTTCATGTCTAAACAGATTGTAACCATGGGCCAGTGCCATCTTGATAAAATTCAAAGCTGAAGAAGGCAGAATGGCAGTTGGGGAGGAGCCCTTGGGAGAGCATTTGCCTAGTATGTGCAAGGTCGAGTGTCACTTCTCATTCATACATATGTTGGTCCAGGGGGTCCTTGTTAAATGAGCTTAGTGTGCTCATCCCACTCTGGCATTAGGCTGTGCTGATTAGCTGTGGAGAGCACTGAGGATCCTCGGGAAGATGTAGGTGGGCAAGGGGTTCAAGTCCAGTAAGAATGTACTTCACAAGGTCACCTGAGTTAGGCTTGTCCTGCAGTCACAAAGTGATGGGGGGGGGGTTTCCACTCCTCATAGGGCCTCCTGAGTCATTTGAACAGTCCTCAAAGGTCACTGTAATAAGATAGAGTCTAATTCTGACAGAACTTCCCATCCTCACAAATGTAAGTTGCTCATGACAGTTTTTCACTATAATTTCAACAAAGTGGTGAGAATATTAGGGTGCTGATGAATGGAGTTAGAGGTGTGACTCCTCAGGAAAGCCTCGGAGTGAGGGGTTACCACTACACACATGTGGAGGGCAGAGGACAACTTGTAGGAGTCAATTCTCTCCTACCACGTGGATCCTAGGGATCAACTCAGATCATCAGGTTTGGTGACAAGGGCCCTTACTCAGCCTTTTACTGGCCCATGATTACTGCTCTTAAAACCTCTTGTCAGTGTAGGTCACTAATGGTTCCTCATCCTCTCTTAAGGGACACTGTCCACTCTCAATCTTGTCAAGAGAGCAACCATGTTGTATGGGGACCAAACATCCTTCCAAACTTTCTACAGTCGATTGGAACAGGACTGAGTATCTGAATCTGTGCATACTGTTGGTGTTGATTTGCTGGCAGAAAGGATCAAGCAGCTACTTGGACTCCATATTAGATTGGGGAACATGAAAATTGGGCAGAGACGACAGAGATAAGAGTTAGAGGCTGAGGCCAGAGGGACTTCCAGTGCTCATTGGAAGGACAAGTCAACAGACTTCTGAACATGTCATGGCCCCAAGTGGGAGAAGCCAGTGCACAGGACCGAAGGTCCTTGGGTACAGAGCCCAGTTTTCCCTTCTTTGCGCAGACTGAGTGAACTGTTCCTGGAAGGACTCCATTTATAAAATAGGTAACTTTTAGACCCAATGAAAAACAGGTATAAGCACAGGGAACTTATCATCCCTAAAGACAGTGTGGACTATATATTTAAATAGAAAGGTGGATAGTTATATAAATGAAAGGGCAGCTGCATCTAAATAACAGAATGCCAACTCTCAGCTTGGAACCTCTAGTGGTTTGAGAGTCCTCTTAAGGGAGAACACCTTCCTTTAGATTGAGGTGCTCTGTAATAATGACACATTATGAGTCTCTTGGAAGCGGCACACTTGTGACTCAATGAACTGATGCAAATTGAACATGAACAAAAGGACCATATAACCTTTATAGGTGGGGAAATTAGATGTCTTATTTTTCTAATTTAATATTATGGTGTGAACATTATCCAGGAAGGATTGATCAAACAATGGCTCATTGATCTCCTGGTTTAATCCAAGGGTGGAAGGGAGACATTGAGTTAGTTTTCTTCTCCATCGTATTGCAGGATGGAAAATAAGCAGCAGGTCCAAGCATTTGAATGGTCTCAGAAAACTGCACTATTCTCTGCAATTTGCTGTATACATTACGAAGTGGGATCTTGTAGGGTTTGCTTTAAATTCAACTCTGTTGTGTGTGCATGACAGTTAACAGAATGACAGTGTAGCAGAATGCATTGGACTAAATCCCTGTAAGTAGCAGCTGGCAAAATCACAAGCCAGGCTAAGCTGCTTGTTTGTGATCTTAACTCTCTCATCCAACCTATGCCTGGTTTCTAGTATGTTACAGATCATTTTATCACATGGCCTTTTGTTCACATATCCACTTAAGTGTTAGATTACTTACTGCTATCTTCTTGTATTTTGTCAAAGAATCTTTTTAACATAAATTTGATTTTGGTAAGACCGAGAAAGTTAATTTGTAATGAAGACGTGTCAGGCTCTTCCTCTTCAATCCCCACATACCGCAGTGCACATCCATGGCAGCTGAGAGAGGCAAAGCTGCCCACAGGGGTTAGCGATGAGAAGTCTGTAGCTGAGAACCTCTGATAATGACTGCTGTTATATGTTAACTGTCCACCACAGGCCTTACACACATAGGAAACTTCACAGGTGTGGTGGTTCACAGGTGTGAGTCTACACTTGAGCAATGAGGCAGAGGGTCAGGAGTTCAACATCATGCCCAGCTACATAGTAAATTCAAGGACAGCCTAGATTACACGAAACCTTGTTTCAGAAAAAGTGGGGAAGAATTAAGTGATCGTGGACTCTGCGGTGGAGGCATGGCGTTTCTCTGTTGGATAAACTAAGGCATATAGTCAGTGACACATCTGGGAAGGCACATGCAATGCTCAGTCTCTAAATTCTGCCTGACAGTAGATACACGTGTGTGTTCCTTGTTTCTATTTCCAGGGCGTGGGGAAGGCACTGCTGCTATGAGCCAATCCGTCTGACTGCATGAACCCAGACATTAGCAGTGTCTGAGTAGCTCGGAAGCTTGGGTTCTGAGCCTCTTTGAATCAGGCTTCTCTTTGGTAGGCAAAGGGTGGTCCTTGATGAAGGCATATGCCTGCAGGATAAGGCTTCAGAGCTAACAGATTTCCTCTACCCACTTTAACTAAGGTTAGCGAAGCAGTATCTTCTAAGAACAGAACTGCTTTATAGTTTTCCCTCACTCTCAGATGCTCCCCTGCAAAAACATCACCCACATTAGAAAGTCAACACTGCACACACAGGTCTGTATTCACTGCAGCTGCCATGACAACATACACAGACTGGGGCTAAACAACAGAAACATAGCCCTCATCTCTAGAGGCTGGAGAGCAAGGTGCAAATCCCGGCAGGGTTGGTTTCTCCAGAGATGTCTCACCCAGGCTTGTGGATAGTTAGCATCTTGCTGTATCCTCTTCCTAGCCTGAGCTCCTAATAGGGAAGCCGGACAGATCGGATCCAGAGTCACTAGCCCCATTTAAACTTATTCATTGTGTGTGTGTGTGTCTGTGCACGTGTGTGTGCACATGCATGTTGAGGTATACATGCCTGTGTGTTGATATGTGCACATTTCTGTGCATGTGCATCTTCCTGTGTGTTTATGTGTGTGTATTTGCATATGCATGAGATGTGCTTGTTAATGCTTGTCTGTGTGTTGCTATGTGCACATTTGTGTGCATGTGTATCTCCCTGTGTGTGCACGTGTGTGGGTGTGCGTACCCATAGGGTGTGCATGTTGAGGTATGCATGCCTGTGTGCTGGTTTGTGCACATTTATGTACATGTGCGCCCACCAGTGCAAACTGGAGGTTGATGTTGAATCTCTTCCTCCATGGCTCTTCACCTTTTTATTTTTTTTGAGACAGGTTTCTCACTGAGCCTCAGTCATGGGTTTGGCTAAATTTGGCAGCTAGTCCCAGGTGCCCTCCCACTGCTGTTCTCCCTAGTTCTAGTGTTATAGACGCCCACTGTCATGTCTAGGCTTACAGGTATGCTAACACTCAGGCAACACTACCTTGAGCACACTGAGCCATCTCCCTAGCCCATGTTCACCTTGTTAAATACCCTATCTCCAAATAGTGTCAGACACTGAGATTCTGGGTGTTGAGAGGCCAGCATGTGCTTCTGGGAGTAGGATGCTTAAGCCTCATTGTCAACTTGACAGGATTTAGTATCATCTGGAGAAAAACCCTCTAGATATATTTGTAAGGATGTTTCCAAAGAGGCTTTTTTTTTTTTTTTTTTTTTTTTTTTTTTTTCCCAAGACAGGGTTTCTCTGTGTATCCTTGGCCGTCTTGGAACTTGTTTTGTAGCCCAGGCTGGCCTTAAACTCACAGAGGTCCACCTGCCTCTGCCTCTGAAGTGCTGGAATAAAGGTGTGTGACACTACAAGCCAGCTTCCAGAGAGTTTTAACTGAGGAGGAAAAAAATTCCTGACTGAGCAGAACTAGTACATAACATGAGGCCCTGGGCTGAGAAGAAAAACAAAAGGTACAGGTGAGTGGGCACCAGCATTCAGCTCCCTGTGCTTGGTGACCGCAGGTGTGATGTGACCAGCTGCTTCAAGCCCCCACTGCCCCATGTCCCCGCAGTAACAGACTACACCCTCCAACTGTGAACCATAAAAATCTAAGCTGCTCTGACTATGAGATTGGTGATAATACTTTGGTGACCAGAGAGCTTGAGTTCAGCAAGGCAAAATCCTTCAGCAGGCAGGCTTTCATGAAGATGTAGCTCTGAGTTTCTATGCTGACCAGTGCGTAAGTAGTGGGCATTCATTCATTCATCATTAAAAAATAATGTTCTGGGTGACAGTGGTGCATACCT